AAACCCCCCCCTTCCGCTCCCTCTCGCGTTTGTGACTGCTGTCCTCACACCGTCCCGACCCACGCACCGCCGTACTCCCTCCCTTTCATTCCTGCCACTGGCGCCCGCCACTGTAAGGGCACCGCTGGCGAGAGCGCGGCACCAGGGGCGTGCTGGCAGCAGGATGGGCACGCAGCAAGCACAGGGTGCCGTTTGGCTAGATGTTTCAAGCGCGGGTGGTATGAGGGAGGTGGCTTTTGTGCATGGGGCGGCGGTGTCAAATGCAGTGGCCCCTGGCTGGCAATGGCTGTCCGCTTGCGGGGAGTGCCCGCATGCCCCTCCCTCCCTCCTCCACATACAGCGCGACACAACTGCCATGCGTGGGTTCGTTGCACTGCAGTGCACTCTCCCCTGGGGAGTGCCTCCTCTCCTCCGCCGCCGCCGCCGCGCGCGCGCTTGCCGGGCGTGCGGCTGCTCAGCCGCCGCATGAGCGCGGGAAAGAACCAGCGCTCGGTGACGGCGTTTGCCAGCCAGGTGGGCACCGTGCCCCTGCCCAGGTCCAGCCAGCTGCACATCTGCCGCACGGGAGCGGCAGGCGAGAGGCACAAAGGCGCCGGGTGAGGCAGGGCGCAGGCGGCGCATGCACACGCAGGCCGCGCCCCCCCAGCGCGAGAGCATCAGTCAGCGGTGCGCACCCCCGCCAGGCATGTCTCTGACGCCCCACCCAACGCACGCCCAGCCCCCCTCCCCGGCCCAGGGGCCCCCTCCCCGCCACTCACCTGCATGCGGCAGCGCGGCGGCGCCCCCGCCGCCCTCCCCCCGCACTCGCTCATGCGCATGGCAAACAGCAGGTTGGCGCGCACGGCGCCCCTGCGCGGCGCCGCCAGTACCCCCTCCTCCACCCGGCACGACTTGCACACAAACAGGCGCTCGCCGGGGGCGGCCGCGTCGCAGGTCACGTATTCGCGCGGCCGCAGCAGGCCGGCAAAGCGGGGGGCCTCCGAAAACACCACCGCCGCCTCGCCCCCGGGCAGGCGCAGGGGCTGCACGCCAGGCGGGGAGGGGCAGGGCTGGACGGATGTGGGTTGCGGTGGTGGTGTGGCGCACTGCGTGGCAGGCACAGGGGTGGGCGGCAGCAGGGGCAGAAGGCTGCAGCCAAGGAGCAGCGGCGGGCAGGCGCTGCTCGGGCGGCGGCGGCGGCGGCCCACCTTCACCAGCTCGCTGTGGTGCTCCCTGGGGAAGGGGTCCACGATGCACTGCGGCAGGGGGAGGAGGCAGCAGGGGGCGTGACACGAGGAGCGCTTGCGGGGCGGCCAAGACTCGCCAAAAGGCTGAGAGCCCACCAACCAGGGCGCAGGCGTGCGGTACGGCAGGTGTACCTTGCCCTCCATGCTGGTCATCAGGGCAAACAGGTCGTCCGCCGCCATGGGAACCTCCGCCTCCAGCCGCGCCATGGTCAGCTGCGGGCAGCAGCGAGGCGCAGGAGGCTTTCGGTGTGCCGCGCAAGGCGGCGGGCAGCGGGCGGCGGCAGCGGCGGCAAGAAGCAGCGGCTGCAGAGCGAGGGACTGCCCGCAATCTGCCGGGCTTCGGCATCTGCCCCTGCATTCGCTCACCCCCTTGCCGCTGGAAACGGGCTTACGGTAGACGCGGAAGCCTCTCGTGTGCGACACCTCCACAAACCCTTCCAGTGGCGCATCCAAAACGCTTCGGCTTTCGTCCAGAACGCGTGACAGATACTTTCGCTCGTCGCGGCCGGTGCCCACCGCCTCTGGCCGCAGGAGCGGCGGCAGCGGCGGTTTATTGCACTCACTGAGCCAGTTCCACGCCATTTCAGGGCACAATACGCTTGGCAGCGACAGTTTCAGATCATGAGCATGGGAGGACCCACGCAATGGGTTGTTGGAGAGTCGGCGCCTCCAGCACAGCGTGGTGTTGGCGGCGAAATGGCGGTGTTGACAGCGTCCAAATGCAAGGCCGCCCTCTCCCTCTCTCTATCCAACGAAAGCAAACCACTTGTGATCGATCAACAGCAAACACCAAAGCATCAGCTGCAGCGTTTGCGGCGCATTCGGCACCAGGGTCCGCCGCCGCAGCGCCCACTGCCAGGGTGTCGCAACACACACACTCTGCGCCACTGTGCCAGGTGAGCAGGTGCTTCCTGGGCGGGAGGGCTGCCTGGATTTCAAGCAGCACCGGTGCCCTTAGTGTCCAATCAGGAGAAAGGTTTTTCAAGTTAAAGCAGACGCTACAAAGTCAACTGCAGAAAATCGGAATACCATAGATGCAAGGAAGGGGTGCATCCCACACGGGCTAAAAACACGCCGGGCCAGCTGGGCACGGCCCAGGCCGCGGTGCCGCCGCCTGCCGTCCACAGGCGTCCCTGCCCGCCTCCCCGCCGCCGCCACATGGCTCACTCCTCCTTGTGCTCCTCCCCCTCCACCTCATGCCAGAACACGGCATCCTCATAAAGGTCGCCCTCTTCCAGGGACTGCTTGGCCGGGTCGGCCTTGCTGACCAGGAAACCCGCCAGCGCGCCGCCCGCCGCGGCCGCCGCCAGCGTGCACCCCAGCGCGGCCAGCTGCACCGCGGGCTGGCTGGCGCCGTGCACGATCAGCTTCTTGTTGGCGCCGGCGGCGAAGAGCCAGGAGAAGAGGGCGGAGGCGAGGCCGCCCCAGATGCCGGGCGCGCCGTGCAGGTTGGCCACGCCGCACGTGTCGGTGATGCCGCACTTGCCCTCCAGGAAGGGGCTCAGCACCAGGTAGCCCGCGGTGGACAGCGCGCCGGCAGTGATGCCCACTGCACGCGGGAGGACGGGGGAGGGGTTGGGGGTGGGTCAGGGGGCGCGAGGCAGGGCAGGTGTGGGGGCAGATGCCTCTTCCCCAAAAGAGGAGGCCCCAGCGCGGCCCCGTGCTGCCAGGCCCACACATGGCACACAGCTCGCCGCGGCGCAGCAGCACCCACCTGCCAGGGCGCAGGCGGGCGGCATGGCCAGGTTGGCGGAGGAGCCGATGGCGACGCCCCCCGCCAGTGTGGCGTTCTGGATGTGCACCATGTCCAGCTTGCCGGTGGCGGCGGCCGAGGCGGCAAAGGCGGCCAGCACGGCGCCCAACAGCGCCACCACGGTGTTCATGATGCAGTACACCTGGGGGCGGTACAGGCGGGCGGTACAGGAGGCACGGGGTCGAGACGGGTCGCTAGGGGGTGGCCGGCGCTCGGCAGCGGCAGCAGGCAGCGTCCAGAGCCGGGGCATGCATGGCAGGCAGGCGCGGGGGCGGGCAGCACAGGGCCTGGTGCCGGGGAGCAGTGGGGCGTGAGCACCTGGGGCTGTGCCTTCTCGCCTGGGGCGGAGGCCAGGGCGCCGTTGAAGGAAGGCCTGCGCCGGGGTGGGGCGGGGGGACAGGAGCAACCAGGGTCGGAAGCGGCCAGGCAGGGATGGGAGGCTGCGCCTGCCCGCAGCTGCGGCCCAGCTAGCTGGGCCCAACATGCGACCAGCATGCTTCTCCAGCACCCCATCCCCAGCACCCCTCCCTTCCCAGCGCCCTCCTCCCTCCCCAGCGCTCCCCTCCCCGCAGCCGCCGCCCCCCCGCGCGCCCCGCCCCGCCCCGCACCAGTAGATGAACAGGAAGATGGTTCCCAGCATGGCGGTCATGTCTGAGACGTAGGAGGCGCCACTCTTAGGGTGGGCCGACCCCGAGCCGCGCGGCGCCAAGAAGGCGGCGGCCGCCACGCCGTACACGGCGCCAAAGGCGTGGATGGTGATGGAGCCGCCGACATCCAGCGCGCCCCACCTGCCTGCCACCAGCTGCGCGTTGGCCGCGTACAGCGGCACCTCCAGCGCCAGCAGCCACACCAGCTGCGCGGGCGTGGCCTTGCCCAGCACCGCGCCAAAGGAGATCATGGCGGCGCCGGCGGCAAAGGCGGCGTCGATGAGCAGCGGGAGGTCCACGGCCACCGCGCCCCAGCCCTGCTGCGCCCACCCGCAGGCCAACACCGCCTCCAGGATGACCAGGCAGGAGGTGACGTAGTTGAGGGAGACCGCGGAGTAGGAGTAGCGCTTGAGGAAGGTCATGAGGAAGCCTGCGGGGGGCGCGGCGCACGACGCGCGGCGGGTGTGTGTATGGACTGGCTGGCGGGGAGGCGGCGGGGGCAGGGCAGGGGTGGCCGGCTACACATGCTGTTGGGTAGAGCGCAGGGTGGCGAGCAAGCCTCTCACTCCGCTCCCTCCCGCCCGCCTCCTACTCCCCTCCGCTTCCCCCCAGCCCCCCCTCACCAAAGCCCAGGAAGATCATGACGTAGACGTCTGTGAGGTACGAGTAGTACTGGCCCACGTGGGTGTCGTCGATGTCGGGGGCAAAGCGGCCAAAGCCGGCCAGCAGGCCCAGCAGCAGCGCGGTGAGGCCCGCCAGCGAGGCGCCAAACGTGCCGCGCAGGTTCCAGGGCGTGCCGTGGCCATGGGCCTGGTCCAGGAGGGGGGTGCCGGCCTCGGCGTCCATGGCGGCCTGCTGCAGCAGGAGGAAAGGGCGAGGAGGCGGGTGAGCGGGCGGCGGCCAGTACCCAGCGGCGGCTGAGCTGGCGGCACCGCTGAAAAAGCTCCAAAGCGGCGCTTCGGAATTGAGCGGCGGGCGCGCCCCGGGCGCCCAACGTGCTTGGGCAGCGAACGGCAGCGTGGCATGCGGTGCAGGGGTCGCAGCCGCAAGGCAGCCATCTCCACATGCTGCCGGTTGCACTGCAAACTCCTGCCTGCCTGCCTTGCAAGCGCTGTACTGCTGTCTAGTTGCCCCCCAGGCTGCGCGCTGCAGCCAAGGGGCCCACCTGGTCGGTGCCCTAGGCTAGGGCTTGGGGGAAGGGCTGGGTTCGAGAAAGCGCTGTCCGGAGACCCCAGGAGCCACAAATATTAGAGAATATTCGAGCCGGAGAGAGCTGCAAGCGCGCTGATCGCCAGAGCGGCCCCAGCCTTTCCTCCCGCCGCCGCCGCCGCCACCCATGCCAGTGCAGGGCGCCGAATGCCGCAGCCGCCGCAGCTGCTGGGCTGTGCCGCATGAGCTGCTGGAACTGCACGCTGCAATCTGGATTCAGCATTATGGATCGAGGTGTTCGAGCGGGGACGGCAGGATGGCTTTGACGGCGGCCTGTCCTCGTCACCGCCAGCTGGCGGCCCATTCTCTCTCTCCCGCAGGGATCCCCTTGCGCTCCCTACCACAGCCCCACAAGCACATTCTGCGGTTGGTGCAATTGGCTGGGCAGCAGCCGCTTCCTGCCTCGCGGACAACTCCCGAGACTCCCCGCCTGCGATCCATTTAAGCGCCAGCTTCTCCACACGCGCACTAGAAGCGGAATGAGTGACGAAGATGATGTCGTCCTCACTCTGGAGCAGGTGTGGGCGCGGCAGTCTGGCGGCCCAAGAGGTCCGCCCGCTGCCCACCCGCTTCCCTGCCCTTCCCCTGCAGGCAAAGAGTGGGCGCAGCACGTGCCGCACCACAGGGGAGCCCATTGGTGCGGAGGAGTGGCGTGTGGGCTTCAGAACCTTCATGGGCGGGCGCATGGCCACTGCCTGGATGGTGTGGACGCTCGCAGGCTGTCTCCAAGCCCAGGCTGCACCCGCACACACAGATGCCCTCTCAGCTTCCTGCTACTGCCTCTGCATGCCATTCTACTCAGACCCAGCGCTGCGCTGAACGTCTTGGCGTCCCTCGAACCCACTCATTGCCTTGCCGGCCGTTGCCGCCGCTGCCCGCGCCCGCAGAAGCCGCTGCCCTTCCTGCCAGAGAGCTGCCGCCTGGAGTACTGCCTCAACCCCGGTAGTCAAGGCGCCTGCAAGGCGACGGGCTGCAAGTTTGAGAAGGACGAGGTGCGATTTGTGTGCACGGCAGGCTCCGACAAGAGGAAGATCTATCTCAGCGTGGCGGCCGCGGGCGATGAGCTGGCGCCGGTGCTGCAGCATGTGGGGCACCGCGCCTTCAGCCCCACCCAGGTGGGCGGGCTGGAGGACCTGGCGGCAGAGGACCGGCGGCGGTTTTGCCAGGTGGGTGCTTGGGGAGGGCGACGGGCAGACGGCGGCAGTGCAGCCGGGGTGGACATGTGGACGGTCCAGCAGCGCGTGAGCCGAGAAGCCATAGCCTAACTGAAGCCACCTGCCTCTGGCATGCCACTCCCGGGTGCGCCCCCACGCCTGACGTGCAGGCTTTTGGTGTGGACAGCGCCGAGGCAGCCGAGTTTAACAGGCAGCACCCGGCACCGGAGCGGCCGCATGTGGAGCCTGCAACCTCCAAGGTGGTCAAGGCCAAGCCGGTGGGCAAGGGCAAGGCGGCAAGCAGTGCGCAGCCGGGGGAGCGGCCCTCCAAGAGGGTCCGCGGCGACGGGTGAGAGGCAGCAGCAGTGAGCTGTCAGCACCGCTGGAACGGCAGCCAACGGCTCGATCACAATGGTTCTTGAACACACAACGCATCCGGCCAAACCAATAAGAGACCCCACCGTAGTGCAGACAGTGTTTGTCCCACCGCACAGCCAGGCTGCACACTCACGTCTGCCCTCTGTTGCATCTGCTCTCTTGCTGGAATGTATGCTGTCCATTCAAGCTAGTGTTCCAGCTCATGCCCAATAGCTTGCTGAACACTGAATGGTGTAGTTCCAAACTGGGCTGAGGCACTGTCGGCGCCCTGGCGTCGTGCCCGCTGGCGGCGCGCAAGAAGGGTGCTCCATCGGCCTGGCCACGGCACGCCACCGGTTACACTCCCTGCTATTGTTTGAGTTGATTTCCGAGCAGCAGCAGGTCGTTGTTACACCCTGTTGGCCGGCGATCAATTCGACCGCTGCGCACCACACCCGCGCGCTCCAGACGCGGGATGAGTGATGCGGAGGACACAAGCATCATAAAATTCGAGCAGGTGTGAGCGTCAGCTGGTGCCGCTGCCACCCCGTCCCACCACTGCCGTCGCTGGCTCACCGCCTGCCCTCGCCTGCCCCTGCAGGCAAAGAGCGGGCGCAGCACATGCCGTGCCACTGGGGAGCTCATCGGTCAGGGGGAGTGGCGAGTGGGCTTTGACACTTTCATCTCGGGGCGTGTGGCAACTGCCTGGATGGTGCGGGGTCGCCTACGCCAGCAGGCCGCATGTCGGGCTCCCGTCTGCATCCCCCATTGTGTCTTACTGGGGATGCAACTTTTCGTGCTACATCTTCTTTGTCATCAAAACCACTTGCTGTCTCACCCCACCATCTCCGCCGCAGAAGCCGCTGCCATTCCTGCGAGACTGCTGCCGCCTGGAGTACTGCCTCAACCCCGGCAGCCAAGGCGCCTGCAAGGCCACGCGCCGCAAGTTTGAGAAGGGCGAGGTGCGGTTTGTGTGCACGGCGGGCGACCCGCAGAAGAAGATCTATCTCAGCGTGGCAGCGGCGGGCGATGAGCTGGCGCCGGTGCTGCAGCATGTGGGGCGCCGCGCCTTCAGCCCCACCCAGGTGGGCGGGCTGGAGGACCTGGCGGCAGAGGACCGGCGGCGTTTTTGCCAGGTGGGTGCTTGAGCGCACTGACTGCAGCAATGCTCCTTTAGCTCTCAGCCTACGAAACACGTTTGCCGAAGGGTCATCCCCGCGTGCCACTCCCGTCCGCTCGCTTGCATGCCGCAGGCGTTTGGTGTGGCCAGCGCCGAGGCAGCCAAGTTTGACAAGCGTCACCCGGCGCCGGAGCGGCCGCTGCTGGACAAGCCTGCAGCGGCGGCCAAGGCATCGGTTGATCGACCAGCCAAGCGGGCCCGCGGCGCAGCGGCTGCGGCAGGCAGCGCAGTAGAGGCGGAGGAGGCGGGGCAGGAGGGCGCGGGCAGCGATGGCGCAACTGGGCTGGCGGCGGAGGAGCAGGTGGGATGCGCTTGGCGGCGTGCAGCGCGGGCTGGTGCCGCAGCACAGGCCAGCCCCTGGCGTGCCGCTGCCAGCACGCCCATCGCCCCGGGGCAGCTCTCTTGTGTGTGCCGCCCACGCTGCCGCCTCTATCTCTGCCTCCACGGCCCCGCAGGGCCTCACAGAGTACGAGCAGCAGCGGCTGGAGCATATCAAGCGCAACCGCGAGGTGGGGACACATAAGTGTGCTGCGGAATAGGGGCAGTACAGGTGGCGGCTGGGTTGCCCACCTCACCTGGGCCTTGGGCCAGCACCGACCAGCTGCCTGCCTGCTGGTCCTGCAGCGCATGATGGCCCTGAACCTGCCGGCCCTGGCATCAGAGCTGGTGCCGCCGCCCAAGGCGCACGCACCTACTGCCAAGCACAAAGGTGGGCGGGGTGCACACTTGGCCAACGGTTTCTGTGGGCATGCGGTTGGCGCTTGTGCCACTTAGTGCCGCCCAGCGTGCACCCCGCTGTCACTACCATCATCCACCCACCCACCCCCGGTGCAGGCGTGTCCCGCAAGCGGCTGAGCGAGGTGCTGCCGCGGCGGGAGTCTTCCCGCCTGCGCGGCATCGCCGCCGACGGCAGCCAGGTCCACTCCGAGCGGCAGGGCGAGGTGCGGGCGCCTGGGCTGCGCTGCGCCACGCTGTGGCGGCCTGGCGCTGCTGCCGCTCAGAGCTTCCGCTGGGGTGGCTGCTGCGCCACGTGGGCCGCCAAGCGGACGCCGTGCATGCTGCCAGGCCGTGCGCCTGCTTTCCACCTTGCTTCCTGCCCTCCTTCATGCAGGTTGTGGTGGTGGCCGGTGAGGTGATCCGCCGCTACGCCCCGGGCGGCGGCATGGAGGAGGAGCGCGAGCCTCAGGAGCGGCACCCGCACGGTGCTTCCTTTGCGCCACCGGGCGCCGCTGGCGGCCCCCCAGCACCAGCCCCCCAGCTCGGCCCCGCCTGCTGCCTCAGTGCCGGTGCCTGAGTGCCAGCCATGCCTGCCAACAGGAATGCCTGCCTGTCTACCTGCCTGTGTGCAGGGGAGCTCGTTTTCGAGAGCAGCAACTGCGGGCGCGACACAGACGAGGCCTTCATTCAGCTGCTGGCCCATGCCGCCGCCAGCGCCAACAGCGGCAGTGGCGGCAGCGGCGGCGGCGCCAAGGGCAAGGGCAAGGGCAAGGGTGGCACCCCTGCCAAGCCGATGGGGGTTGCTGACATGGCGAGGCTGAGCCTGGCGGCCGATGATGTGGCCAAGGTATGGAGAGGGGGGCCCCGGTGGGGCAGGCTTCTCCGCTGTTGCTGTGTGCAGGCGCAGGCATCTGATCCCCGCGCTGCGCCCTGGACGTGCTCTCTCCACTGCCCATGCATCCATCTAGCCTGGCGGCGGCACTCCTGCATCGCTGCTCGTCCTGCCGCGCAGGTGACCAAGGATGCCACCACCCACCTGGCCTGGCACCCCACCACAGACACGCTGATTGTCGCCTGCGCGGGTGCGGGACCACAAGTCGGGGCAGGCCCCAGCAGGCAGCTGGGTTCGGCGTTGTTGCCCTTGGTGGCGGCATGCGTGCTTGGAGCAGCCCGCTCGCCTGGCTCAGCCCACCGGCCCTTGCGCCACGTGCTCCAAGGGCCCTGGCCTGCCCCCTCCCTCCCTTTCCTGACTCCTCCCTGCAGACAAGAAGGGACATGTGGGCCTGTGGCACGTGAGCGAGGGCAGCTACGAGCTGCCGCCCTCTGCCCGCCGCTCGCAGCCCATCCTGCGGCACGCGCCCAAGCAGGAGCAGCAGGAAGAGGAGCAGCAGGAGCAGGCAGAGGGCAGCGCAGACGCCAAGCCAGGTGAGGGGCGCCAACAGGAGATCACTGCCGCTGTGGTTTGGGCCATGCTCTGGTGCATGACTGCTGGAGCCGCTGAAGCCGCTGAAGCAGGTGGAGCGATCCTGCCGTGCATGCTGCCGACGCTCCCCTCCCGCAGCCGCCACGGGCGCGGCGACCGTGTCGCTTGACGCCGCCGGCAGCGCGGCCGCTGGGCCTGCCGCCGCCGGCGGCGAGCCCAGCAGCGCCAGCGCCAGCGAGGCGTTCGACGGGGTGGTGAGTCTGCAGGCGCAGCACTACCAGTACATCTGCGGTACGTGGCAGTACATCACCAGGCCGTGTGTGCGTTGTGAGAGCTGTGTGGCACGCCGGCAGCTGCGCTGCATGTCCCGCGGCAGCCTGGCCGCTGCGTGGCCGACAGGCTGCCCGCCGCATGGTGCCTCCCTGCCTCCCCACCGATTGATTGGCCCGCGCCCTGCCGCACGCCCTGCCTGCAGGCCTGCGGTGGGCGGGCGGCAGCGGGCGGGGCGCCGCCCTCTTCACCGCCTCCTACGACGGTTCGCTGCGCAGGCTGGATGTGCAGCGGGGCGTGTCGGGTGGGTGGCGCCGCCGAGGCGGCGCGTGTGAGCGGCAGGCTCAGGGCTGGGGGTCCGCCCCACTGATGTCGTGCAGCTGCTCACCCGCCCGCTGCCTGCCCCTCCCCTGCCTCACCCCTCCCCTGCCTCCCTCCCTGCCGGCCCTGCACAGATCTGGTTGTATCTTCTGAGGAAGACGAGTACAGCTGCATGGATGTGACGGGAGACGGCTGGTGAGCCTCGCCCTGAGCTCGGCATGCACAGCGGCGCCAGCCAGCCAGCCAGCCCCGCCCCGGGCCTCCTGCTGCCGCCGCCGCCCACGCGTGCCTCGCCGCCGCCTGCAAGCCGCCCACCTGCCTGCCCCATCCGCCTGCCCGCTTGCATCCCCGGCCCGCCTCGCCCCGCAGGACCGCACTGCTGGGAGACAACGAGGGCGCCCTGCGCCTGGTGGACGTGCGGGCGGGGCGAGTGCAGGGGCGCCCGCTGACGGTGCACCGCAAGAAGATCAACACTGTCCACCTGGAGCCCACGCAGGAGCAGGTGGAGCGCGCCCGCATGGCCAGCCAGCCAGCCAGCCAGCCAGCCACAAACACAAGTATTCCTCACTTTCTTCCTCCGCCCGTCGCCTGCCCTTCTCCACACGCCGCCCATCAACCCAAGCCGCTCGTCTCCCGCCCTTTCCGCCCGCCGCCACCTCACTCCTGCCCCCTCCCCGGCTCCCTCCGCCAGGTGTGCGCCACCTCCTCCACGGACACATCCATCCAGCTGTGGGACATGCGCAAGCTGGCCCCCGGCAAGCCGCTGGCGGCGGCGGGCCACGCCCAGGGCTGCCAGGCCGCCATGTTTGCGCCCGACGGTGCGCCCCCCGCCGGCGGTGGCAGCCAGGCAGGGCGCTCGCCTGGCTGGTTGCGGCCGCTGCCTGCTGGCCATCCCCTGTGCCGCAGCAGGCGGAGCGGTGTGCGCCTGCGACTCCCGCTCAGCCCCCACTCTCTGCCCTGCTCTGTGTCCCCCTCCCTGCCACCTCCCACCCACCTGCGCCACCCCCTTCCCGCTGCCCCCTCCTCAGGCTCCCGCCGCCTCGTGTCCACCTCTTTCGACAACACTCTGAGGATCTGGGATGGCGCCTCGGGCCTGGCACCGCTGCGCACCATCAAGCACGACAACAACACGGGGCGCTGGGTGCTGCCCTTCCGCGCGGTGTGGAACGCGGCGGGCGACGGCGTGATTGTGGGTGAGGCGGAGGGGCTGCTGTGTGGGTGGGCTGTGTGGGGAGGGTGGCTGGTGCAGCGTGGTGGTGGTGGTGGTGTCAGGGTGTGGTGGGATTTGCTGGCGGAACAATCGCTAGAGGTTGACCAGCCGGGCTTGCGTGTCATGGCCTGCAGGCAACATGAAGCGCTTTGTTGACGTGTTTGATGCCAGCAGCGGGGCCATGGCGGCTCAGGTGAGGGGCAGGCGGAAGGGTGTGTAGGGGTGTGTGATGGTGGTGGCGGGTTGGGACATCCTGCTTGCTGCACAGGCCTGGCCACCGCTTGCTTTGCTGTGCAGCACAGGGCCAATGTGACGACTCCCCATGACCCACTCCTCCTCCTCCTCCTCCTGTGCCCTGCAGCTGCACAGCGAGCACATGACAGCCATTGCCAGCCGCAACGCCGTGCACCCCGCGCTGCCCGTGCTGGCCTGCGCCACCAACAGCGGCCGCATCCACGTGTACCGCTAGACGGGCGTGTGTGCCTCCTTTCATTCCTGCACTCCAGCAATTGCTCCTCTCCGTCAGTTCCAGTGAACCCTCAATTGCTCCTTTCGTGCCCGCTGCGAGAAAGGGACCTCAGCTGCCCTCCCTCTCTCCCTTGCCTCTCCTGTCCCCTTCTGTCGCTCCACTTGCGCCCAGTTGCCTTTCATCAATGGATCCTGAACTGTATGATGTGCCTTGAGCAGGCTAAGGGCCGTTCACTTGAGCGCTGGCGGAGCGGGTGGCGGGGCTGTACATCGGCGGGTACAGGTGCAGCATGATGGTCTGCGCAATTGCGCGAGCCGTGCTTGTCTCCGATACATTCATCAGCGATGTCACACGCCACAGCAGAGGCAGCACCGAAAAAGACAGGTTTTGAACGGGCGGTGGCCAAATTCTCCGCCTACTTTGAAGACCGCGGGTTGGGACCGTCTGATATTCCCACTGCGATCATCATTCATGAGGCGGGTAGCCGCTGCGATCGCTATCCACGATTGGCTGCTCCATGATGGCTGCTGGCGGCGCCGTTAAGACGGCGCCGCCTGAAACTTGCAATTTACAATACTCGAAGCAATGTGTGCAGGTGGTGGGCCTCTTCATGGCGATAGGCTTCTGGGCGGTGAGCTAGGGCTGCTGTTGGCACTGCTCACAAGCCGCCTGCTTTCGGACACAGCAGCACGGCCATTCGTTGGCTGCTGAACGCCGCCCATCCCCTCCCTGCAGGCCTGCCACGCCGTCCAGCCATCCAAGACCCTGGCCCGCCCGCTGGCGTCCTCGGTGGCCAACAGCAAGCGTGGCGCCGCGCTGCGGCAGGGCTACAATGCCGCGATGGCACAGGCCACGGCCACCGTGCGGAAGCTGAGCTGGCTGCGCAAGGTGGGGAGCAGCTGAGGCACAGATGGTTGAGAGCACCAGGCTGCCTGCCCTGCCTGCCCATGGTTGCACCGCTCTGTCCAGCCAGTCGAGCAGCACGCTCTTGTCGCGCTGCTGCAGGTGCCTGGAGCCGACCCAGCCCGCCTCACGGTGTCGCTGGCAGAAAGCCTGTGCCTACGCGCCACTATCAAGCCACTCACTTTCCCTTTCAAGCTATGGGCGGCTTATAAGCTGACTGTTGTCAGCAAGCAAGCAATGAGCCGCGACAGCAACCCGAGCAGCCAAAGGAGCGCCAAGACAGCCAACAGCAATCGCACGGCGGCAGCAGGAGCGGGCAAGGCGCAGCCCAAGAGCCGCGGCAAGTAGCCGCAGCCTGGGCTGTGGCATAGGACATCGTGCCGATCCCAGCAGATCAGCCCTGGATGCCTTGGCTGCCCTTCCATGTTGGGTGTGTGCAAACCCGCCGCCCGCTTCTTTTTGCCGTTGGTACCGCAGCACCAGCCTTGCGAGGCCCCATTCCTCGCTGAATTGATGCATTTTCAATTGATTGATTGCTCTTCGGTAGTTGCAAGCAAACGCATCACTGAGGATGCAGGGAGGCTGGATTTCGGCCCATCAAGCATTGTGCCAAAACACAGGCACGCTTCGAGGTTGGCTGGAAAGGAGGCCTGGCGGCGAACGGCCTCCTCGCGCTCCCATCGCCATCCAAGGCTCTGCCATCAACATCTGGGTGCCCTGGGCGGTTGAGAAACCTGCGTGCGGACCCCCGGGCAAGTCGGTAGCAGGACCCACAGTCTCGCGCTCTCCCAGCGCAACCCAGCTTCACAGCACCAGGTGCGAGTCGTTGGGACCTGCATTTGTACCAGCCACAGCAAATGCCTGTCGCCCAGCTTTCTGGCGGCGGGTGCATGACAGCCATGCCAAATCGGGCTCCCTCTCGAGCGCCGCTGCCGGCGTGCTGAGGCGCTCCTTGTGCCCAGAAGACTCGTTTGCATGCCGGGTTTCTCGAATCGGGGCTGGCACATCGGGCTGGGCCACTGCCGCCGCCTGGCCGCCGCCGCCTGGCTGCCGCCGCCGCTGCTGAGCCGCGGCACCCCCACCTCCCAAGCAGCCGGCCCCTCCCAAGCAGCAGCCATGGATCTGGCGGGCTACCAGGCGCTGGTTTGGTCGCTGTCGGGCGTGCTGCTGGCCTTCTTCGCCGGCTTTGCCATCATCTACACCTACATCCGCCACAAGCGGCAGCAGGACAAGATCCATTTCGACCAGGAGGAGTTCATCACCGCGCGGCGACAGGTCCGCTTGGGGGGCCAGCTGGCGGCACAGGCAGCAGGGCCGGCAGGGACAGCGGCACGGGCGGGGCGGCGTTGCGGCGCAGCCGGCATGCACGAGCGAGGCCGGGAAGGAGGGAGGGAGGGAGGCACGAGGGCTGTGGCGAGCAGGCAGCACCGCCCACCCCTGCCCCGCTCCTCCCACCCCGCCCCCGCAGGTCTCCACCGTGCGCATCGGCTGGTCCTTCTTTGCCGGAGCGCTGGGCGCCTGGGTCATCTCCTCCCCGCCCGCCTACACCGGCTCGGGCTACAACTACGGCGCCGGCGGCATCGGCCTCGCCTTCTACTCCCTCTCCTCCGGCCTGCCCGTCATCATGATCGCGTTCGCTGGGGAGGTCATCCGGGTGAGGCTGCCCGGGGGGCGGGCGTGGTGGGGACGGGGGCAGGGGGAGGTGGCAGGAGCGGAGGGAGGGAGGTGGAGGAGAGGGGCCGGCAGGCAGCTGGGTAGGGAGGGCTCTGGCCAGAGGCGGGCAGCTCGGCAGGGCCGCGAGCAGCTGCCCAGCAGCTGCCCAGCCCATCCTGCGCTGCTGCCTTCCCGGGCCTGGCTGCTTCATGCCCTGCTGGTTCCCCAGCCCTCCGGCCCCCCGCCCTCGACCCCGCGTCTGCCCGCTGCGCCCCGCCTGCCCCTCCCAACAGCGCAAGGTGCCCCACGTGCTGAGCCTGACCGACTTCATGGGGTGGCGGTACGGCTACGTGGCCAAGACGTACGTCGTACTGCTCTGCATATTCAACATGTCCATCGGTGAGCGAGCGGGGTGGACGGGGGGC